CCCCCCCCCCCCCCCCCCCCCGCGCGCGCTCCTCAAGTCCCCAAGTCGTCCTCACCCGAATGAGGAATGAAGATGAAGGCACGCGCTGTATAACCCGCTTCCGGCCCGGCAAAAAAGAACGCAGAGGTTGTCGATTGGGGAGAAGCCCTTACGAGCGGTGGCCACGTGTTGAAGCTATGCGGCAGAAACGCTGTGAGCGCTAACTATAAAAGTAACGAAGCCCAAAATGTCGGGATGGAGGACTCCTGGCCTGTCCGGTTTCCCTAAAGGCAGCCCCCCCCCGACAAGATGAAAGCACGTACCCCTCCTACCTCCCCCTACCCCCCCTCCCCGGAACACGCCTGCCTCCCGGCCCGACGAAAAAAAAATTAATCTCCGAGATTGTCGTGATCGAGACCCCTGGCACGTCCGGTTTTCCCAAAAAAAAATCCCTCCTGCCAGATGAAAACACGTACCCCCCCTACCCCCCCGAAACACGCCTGCCTCCCGACCCGACAAAAAATAAACAAAATCGCAGAGATTGTCGGGATGGAGACTCCTGGCACGTTCGGGTTTCCGAAAACACTCCCCGGCACCTGTGGTGCAGACTGGAGCAGTGCGCGGAACAATCTCCGGAAGGGTCTCCGGAAGGGTCTCCGAAACGGCGGCTCGCGGAACAACATCAGCGCCATTCCGAGAGAACGGTCAGGCTGATGACCACCAACAGCCGCTGCTTCAGCTGTCTGAGGGGGGGGAGGGGGGAGTGGAAGGGGATACCGGGGGTGCCGATGGCGGCGTTGCTGTGGTGATCGACGGCCGTGATCTCGAGCACGCGTGGCGATGGGTCATGGTCGGAGGGAGACGGAAGCGAGGAGCTGCGTGGAACAGCAACACCGGCACTACCTCGAGTGCGCGTAAGGAGACACTAGAAACGACGGAGGCTGGTACGGAAAGTAACGGAGTCAGCAGCATCACCGATAGTGTTTTCCGGGGTGGTGGGGCCAACTGCAGCGGCGGGAGCGCAGGCAGAACCACTGACATCACTAGCAGCAACAACGAATGCAGCAGCAGCAGCAGCAGCAGTAGCAGCAGCAGCGGTAGCGGCGGCGGCGGCGGCAGTGCCGGCAGGGGCGGGATACCAATCAATGACACCGCCCCGTCCGCAGCAGACACCGCGACTTCTGCCCTTGGCCACGCCAAGACGATGCCGGGCAGCATGGTAGCCACGCTGTCGTTGGCAGGCCGAGAAAGGAGGATAGAACGAAGCGGAAGCGCGACCGTGCGCTGCAGCAGCAACGTCTGCGGCAGGAGCAGGCGGGTGGTGCTGCCCCCGCCGACTCGCGTCCGAACCGTCACCTGGGACAGGTAATCCCTCCGCAGTCTTCTTGGTTGATTCTTCCGCGTTTCTGATTCCTACGCGTTTCTTGAAGACTGATGCTTGATGTTGATAAGCCCCTCCTCGCAGGTTGCAATGCCAAAGGTTGATGTCGATAAGGCGTGTTCTAGCAGCGTTTGCAGGTGCCTTCCTCGCTTTCTGGTGTTGTTGGAGTCGGCGGTAGTGATGGGCTGGCGTCGGTGGTGCCCAAGGTATATTAACAACGCACAGACAGGTGTGTGGACCCTTGTCGATGTTTGATGTTTGATGTTGGTGTTGGCGTCGGTGCCTTGGGCATGCTAGCTCCCTCCATGCCAACGAAACCTGCGCTAAGGGTGTTCATTGCTCTCATGGGCACAGCACACCGACGGGGTTGACACGACAGGCGAGCAGCGCGAGCGAGCCGCGAGGGAGAGCACCCTGAGCTGTTACCGTTTTCGCAATATTGGCGGTTCCTTATTCGGCGGCTTTTGCAATACCCCTGGATCGCTCTGCAAACCTCTGTTACTACTCTGCAGAAAGGCCAGTAACAATGATGCCGACAATACCGGCGGCGTTGGAACTTTCTCGTCGAGATCTTTGCAGACCGATCGCTTCGTCGTTTTGTTTTGGCATCCTATTCGTCATGCAGATATCGAGGCTCCGAAGGATCACTCCAGCAGGGTGTGCTGTCTCAAGCAATGTACGATGCCCCCCCCCCCCACGGCGTGCTCGGCCCCGGCTTTGTGACTATGAGTACATCCCCCCTCCGGGCTTCAATCTGCGTCTTCCCCTTGTAGGCCCGTCGGAGAGCTCGTGAAGGGGGTTGCGTGGCCCCCAGGCTTGACCAGGATTACCTTCGGTGACGGGTTCAACCAGTCGCTGTCGCTGGTGCGCTGGCCGCCAGGCCTCGAGGAGGTTAACTTCGGCAGGTGCTATGCGTGTCGTCGTTGTCGTTGTTGTTGTTGTTGTTGTGATCGTCTTTGGCAGTAGTGGACATCCGTTCTTCCTACATGCCTCCCATGAAGAGCTCAGCCCGTTCCGTGTGGGGTCTACGATTACACGTTGCACCACATATTGCCTCCCAACAAACAATACATAACATCCACCACCAACGAAGAAAAAAGTAGTAAATGCAGTCATGGCTGCGACATAAGGGGGCGGTGCGAAAAAAGACCCTCGGCCCTCTCTTATATCGGAGCCCCCTCTCATACCGGAGTGAGACTTTGCTACGCGAGTCCGTGACAACCGAGTTCGACGCTCATTTGTCGGATCCCCTCTTGTTATTAACAGGTGTCCTCTTCTATCGGAGCCACGGCTGAACCACCCAATAAACAAAACAAGACACACAAGCATATTTTGAGGCCTATTCAGAGGGACTGGCGCTGTTTACTGTACAAAATGACTTGGTGATATTGTCTGTGCGAAGAAAACTTCGCCAGCGCAATACGTGGCCACCGGAGCTAGTCAACCGGTGTTAAAGGCGTCCCCCCCCCCCTGTCAATGCTTCTCATACTGTAGCGTCGAACACCTCCCGACCCTTTTTGCCCCCTCAGGGACTTCAACGAAGTGATCGACGTTACCACATGGCCAGCCGGTCTGAAGCGGATGACTTTTGGGTGAGAGCCGGTTCATGTTTGGTCCCATTTTTGTCTTGTTGTCGACATCCCGGAATTATTTGTGGTGGAAGCGTTTGTGGTCGTTTCAGGGGAAGTGGCGGTTATCGTCATTTTCGTGAGAGAGAAGTTCATCGTCATTGTTTTGTGAAAGAGACGTTTGTCTTCATGTTTATGAGGGAGACTTTTTTTGTCGTCTGGTTCGTGAAGGACGTGTTGCACGCATACCTTGAAGCCTGGTGTATACGCATGCGTGTTCCTCACGAGCACGACGTGGAACTAACCGTATGTCTCACGCAAACGTAGCCCTGGTTTGTTCTGCGTGGCGGTGTGTCTTGCATGACGGACCCGACGTGTACACGCACGCACATGTGTGTGTGTGTTTTTATTATTAGCATCGACCGCGCTAACCAGCTGACCAATGAAAAGACGTCAGTCTTAGTGCGGTTGAAAACACAAAACACTTCTATCTACCATGAACTGGGACCCCGTGTGTGTGTGTGTGTGTGTGTGTGTGTGTCTTTGTTGTTGGCATCGGCCGCGCTAACCGGCTGACCAATGACAGTGTGTGGGGGTGTGCTTTGGTTCCTTTTTGATGGAACATCTTCCTCACAAGCATGAAGGGGAATCAACAATTGGACATGCACATATGTTGTGCCTGTGGTTTCTTGGTTGTCTATTCGTCTTCCCGCCATCCCAAGCACGAAATGGAATCAACCATTGGAGTGTGCACGTTATTCCCTTGTTGCTTGTGCGTCTTCCTCGCAAGCACCAAGTGGAACCAGCCATTGGACTACGTGGGCTGGCCCGAAGGTCTGGAGGAACTGGTCCTGGGCTCTTCGTTTGACCAGCCCGTTTCAGGTGAACCGATACGAGCCTCCCCCCGCTGAAACGGCGCCTGATAAAAACGCGTAGCGCTGGTATCGCTGGTGAAATTTCAGTGCTTAGGCTTGAGCAAACTCAACATAAGCCCAACCTCCAGCCGGGTTCCCTCCACGCGCTGAAAGACTTCAAAGCATAAATCTCTGTCGACTGTGGGTATATCTCGAAAGGGTAATGTTTCTGTGACTGTATGGATAATAAAACAAAGAACGCTTCCGAATCTCAACTCTCTCGACGAGCGTTTTCCTCGCCACGTCCTCTGGGGGAAAAACTGCGATTGCATACTGCTGGCCTGTATCAATGCTATCCGATTAGCCAAGAAGGTTCACAGCATTCTCGATGAGCATTTTTTCTCGCCACCGTCCTCTCAGGCAAACTACAGCTAGCGGTCTGTACCAGATATGTGCTAGAAACATTTGTCTACCTGTGCTCTATTGGATGGGGCATGTGTTTCCAGGTGTGGTTTTCCCGAAAGGGCTAAGACTTCTATCCTTCGGGATGCATTTCAACAAGAGCGTCGAGGGGGCGAGCTGGCCAGATGGCCTCAGAGAGATATCGTTCGGTTGCGCCTTCAACTCGCCGATCGACCAGGTATGCATACACTGCTAAACCCTTCTGTGCTGTGGGGTTCGTCGTACGTTTTTTTTCGTGTACCTGTTTCGCCATGCTTTGACTTTGGAGTTTTGAGTCCGATTCTGTTTGTTTTTACACTTCAACACCGCTTGTGTGGCCTTTGTACCTTATCTTTTCTTGTGTTGTCGTGTAGGTTCGTTTATGATGCTGTTTGTTTCGAGTCTTCCCCTATCCTCAACAAACCCTAGTTGCTGGCCATTCACTGCCCCCTTGAACACAAAGGTCGTTCCTGTACGCCTATCCCTAACAAATGGTACCTCCCAAAGGTCGTCCCTGTACGCTTATCCCTAACAATCCCTGCCATTCCCCCGTAAACTCAATGGTCGTTCCTGTGCGCCTATCCCCAACCCAAACCTTACCATTACCCCCTAAACTCAATGGTTGTTCCTGCACGCCTTTCCCTAACAAACCCTACCATTGACCCGCTAATCACAGCGGTCGTTGCTGTACGCCTATCCCTCACAAACCCAATCCTTGCCCCCTAAGCTTGTTCCTATACGCTTATCCCTAACAAACCCTACCATTACCCCCTAAACACAAAATATATGTCATTCCTGTACGCCTATCCCTAACAACCCCTACCATTATCCCCTGAACACAAAGGTTGTTCCCGTACGCCTATCCCCAACACAAACCCTATCTTTCCCCCCTAAACACAACGATCCTTCCTGTACGCCTATCCCTGACAAATCGTATTCCCTTCTAAACCCAAAGCTTGTTCCTTTGCACCTTTCCCTCTCCCTATCCCTTACAAACCATATTGATTGCTCCTGAACACGCACAGGTCGCTTGGCCGACCGACCTGCAGCGGCTCTCTTTCGGACACAGCTTCGATCGCCCGGTGCACCAGGCCTCGTGGCCCCGCCGACTACAGAGGCTCGCCTTCGGGAACGACTTCAACAGGCCGGTCTCGGGGGTGTCTTGGCCTGAGGGTCTGGAAGAACTGGTGTTCGGGGAGATGTTCGACCAGGCGAGTTTTTTTTTTAATTTTTTTGGCGCCTTCGATTTGCTTTTTTGTGTTGATGCTGGTGCTGTTGTTGTTGTTGTTGTTGTTGTTGTTGTTGTTGTTGTTGTTGTTGTTGTTGTTGTTGTTATTGATGATGATGATGATGATGATCGCTCAACATGTTGTCCACGTTATGGTGGTGGTGCTGTCTTGCTGGTTACCTGCAACATTTATCTACTTGTTGATAATTGTGTTTGGTTTGTTGCTGCGGTTGTTGCTGCTACTGTTGATCGGTCAACATGTTATCCACTTTGTGGTGGCGCAACGTTCATATGCACGAAAACTACAAAATAAATGCTTGTTGGTAGTCATATTTAGTTCGGGTACTGCTGTAACATCTTCACTCGATTCTCTTCGCCATAAACCGTGCTATGCACGCTCGTGGCCTGTCCAGGAGGTGAAGTCGACGGAGTGGCCCGCCGGGCTGAAGAAACTGTCCTTCGGGAAGAACTTTAACCAAGCCGTAGGGGCGACGGCGGCCGATGCTCCAACCGGCAACGGTTCCGCCGCACCCAACGGTTCCGTCGCACCCAATGGTCCCGCCGCATCCAACGGTTCCGCCGCACCCAATGGTTCCGCCGCACCCGGAATCCTGCCACGCGGGTTGGAGGAGCTACGGTTCGGGAGGAGGTTCAACCAGGTTGGTAATTAAAACAGTTAACCGCTGGCACTTAAGAAACTTAGTTTTGGCTGAGGCTGAGGTTCTTGGTTCCTATGCATACGGTTATGGTACGAATGACCGGTATACAGGTATAGGAGTAAGGGGTTCAATAACGAGCTCATCGATTGTGCTCGATTTCTTCGATTTTGAAGTCTTCGAGGCTATAATTCTTTCTTATCAAACTGCCAGTTGCTTGAGCGCGGATCCTAACTGTAGTGAAGTTCCTCATCGCTCACACAGTTGCTTCAAGATCGCCTTTCAAGAGGAAATTCGAGGTGGTCCCGTACGCAAGGCCCTCTCGAGCTTCAGAAAATGTACATTCAGCAAGCCTTCCCGTTTGAGACATATTCATAGTTGAAGGGTAGTCTATGCGTTGAAGTCCTCACAGCGAGTAAAACGAAATTCGGCTGGATGCTTGGGGCCTAGTTTGAGTCTGTACATACACTGAATTGGTACGCGAGCAATTTTTGGGTGTGGCGTCGTACCGTAGGCTACACCACCGTGTGAATCTTCTACTTCAATGCCAGTCTACACCTGTCTCTCGGTATATACCTGATTATCAGCCGACGGCACTCGGAGGAAGCCACTGTTTCTTTAGTAATGTTTTACCAGTGTGCAGTGCGGAAGAGATGAGACCAATAGCACGCGGTTTTTGTGTCCAGACGGGCAGTTAGGGACGAGAAGGCTTCTTATTGTAGGGGGAAGGTTCAATCGTCCTTCTTCCCCCTCCCTATTGTATTTACCGCTGAAATCAGTTAGGTACAGAATCCGCCGTCACGTAAGATCGAACCTGGGAGTAAAATATTCAGACTCGTCAAAGATAATTGCGCGAATGAGACCGTACAAGGGTTAAAAACCCTGCGGTGGCTAATTAGCCTACTGGTTTTGGAGGTTGCCGGTATCTAGCCTCGCACGAGCCTCTTTCGCAAATGGTGCTCGACGGCGATGCTGCATGTAATTGGGTCGTCTCGGCGCGAAATTGAGTTTATTGAGGAAAAAGAAAAGGGACGGGGAACGCAGACCCTATTCCCTAACCCTAATACTTACCCTACCCCAACTCCCCCATGATTTATCCAACCCTGCGAAGCCTACCGATGTTTTATTCCCTGCTCCCTCGCGTCCCCGCCTTCTGCCGTTCCTTGCCGCTGACTGTTCTTGCTGCCTGCCTACGCCGTCTGCTTGTTTTCGCTTTCATTTTGCGCGATGAACGGAAACGAAAAAAAAAGCCTATCAACAACATCGTGTGGCCGCGGTCTCTGCAGAGCCTCGTTTTCGGGTCGGACTTCAACCAGCCGGTGGACGAAGTTAAATGGCCGCAGGTAGGTGTCTGTGTGCACCCGACGTGCTTTTTCTGCTGCTTTTTCTGCTGCTTTTTCTGCTGCTGCTGCTGCCGCTGATGATGATGATGATAATGATGATCCTTCGGGTGTTGCTGGTGTTGTTCTGCTCCCGACATGCATTTTGTGCTGCTGCCGCTGCTGCTGCTGCTGCTGCTGATGCCTTTGGTGTTGCTGACACTGTTGTTGGTGCTGACGGTGTTGTTATGGGTGCTGTTGAATTGTTTTCAGCGACGGTGGTGTTGGCGGTGATGCTGCTGCAAGATGTTGTTCCCGCTGCCGCGGCTGACGTCTACGCGCCGCCATCGCCATGACCCATACCCGAACCCCAACGCTACAAGCTACCGCAGGACGACTCACCCCTTTCTAGGGCAGTCAGGGAAAACAGACTTGAATTTTCGTTGCCGTTTCACTTGTCGTCCCGCTTACCCTGTAGGGGCTAAAGCAGCTTCGCCTCGGCGAGGAGTTCAACCAGCCCGTGGAGGCGGTGGCATGGCCTCCGGGTATGGAAAGTCTCGTCTTCGTCTTCTACTTCAACCAGGTAATATGGTATACATCGATGTGCCGCGGGAAGATGTGACCCTGTCAATCCATTTCAATTTTGTTCTACCTTAGATGTATACGCTGAAAAGCCTGTAGACAAGCACCAGGACAACCATTCACACACACACACACGGTCACAGGGTCCCAGACTGTGGCCTCTAGAAGCATTTTGCTTTTTCAATCGCACTGGGACTGGCGTCTTTTCATTGGTCAGCCGGTTAGCGCGGTCGATGCTAATAAGAAAGACACACAAATATGTACATCCCAATCTAGTAAGCTGGGGTGCCTTTGACGGCCACGTAAGTATCTCGCGATCATGCCGCACCATGCATCCACTCGGTTGTGCTTGGGGGGGAAGAAACGGCGACCGGGCACTGATGTAGAAGCGAGTAGGGCGGCCGAGGCAGCACTTGTGGCGAACTATGTCCCCGGCTGATGTTGTTGCGCCCTGTTTCCCTCCCTGCTGTATGCTATACTCCTTTGTGTATGTTCTTTGTATTGCCTTCGGTCTCTGTGCTGTGTTTCTTTTTTTTGCATGTCCTCCCTGCCTACTCTGCTGTGTTGGGTACCTTGATCTCGCTTTTGCTGTTGCTTTTGTTTTTTGTACATCTGGCTGTCTGCCCATCTGCCTCCTCGTGTTTGCTCCGTTACTCCCATGCCCTGGTGCGTAGTGCCTGGTTCTAGTACGTTACCCTTTGATTTTTTCTTTAGGCGGGTGTTGGAAGGGTCCTCCTTCATTTTTGTTTTTGTTTTTATTTTGATCGGTTTCCGAGGGCTCTTTTCTCGAACTGTCGGTGCGGTACCTGTCATTTTCTTTTTATCATCTTGTTTTCTTTTTCCGAGTGGTTTGTACCCAATTTTTGTTTTTTTTTGTTTCCCCGCGGCGTCGTATGTGCAGGGTTTTCAGACCACGGGCTCCCCATTTTTTGTGGACTTTAGAGCTATGTGAGAAACAACAACAACAACAACAACAACAACAATAACATGGTTTTAGGTCCACGTTTCTTACGGTTAGGGTTTGACGGTCACAGGAAATTCGTTACCGTGCCGCAGAGACTGCAGGCGTAATACGTGCATGTACCCGCCCGGTTGCACGTTGTGATTGGTCCACTTCTCTCGGCGTTAATAAAACCCGTCGATGAAGTCCCACACGTGTGACCCTGCTGTAAGCTGAGATGCGTTTGACGGCCACAGTAGGTCCCACCACCGCCGCTCTCGGCACCTCCACTGATGCTCTGTCTGTGGAGTATTCGAGCTCGAAAAAAAAAAAAAGCTCGAAACTCAGTCCAGGGGGTGTGATGTCTTGTCCAACGTTCGGTGCCAATGCGGCAGGTTCTGATCCCCATTGGTTGCGCCCACCACGCTCCTCCATTCCCACTCTGCTCACAACTGAGCCTTCAATCGAGTTCCTCGTTCCTGTTTGGCTCCAATCACCATTACTGTAACCTTCTGCTGCTGTAGTGCCTATGAACGCATCGCCCGTCCCCCCTCCACGTTCTTGATGCTGTACCCCGTTCCACCGAAATTGTCGGAGAGCTGGCGCCCCCGTTTTAGCGTGTTTCTCCTCAACCAGGGGGGTAACAGTGCCGAAAATGTTAGTTGTGGGAGTATCTCGTCGAGGACTTTCCTGAGGAGTATCGGTTGGTCTTGGCACCCTCCTAGTTGTGGAGAAATACGCAACAGAAGTACTCTATAAAGGGGGTGCCACCTCTCCGACTCTCACGGTGTGTTGCCGCGTTTTGTTTCTTCCGGTAGTCCGTGGACACAGTGATCCAAGGCCTCGCTCGAGGGTCCCCCCCCCCCCCCCCCCCCCCCCCCCCCCCCCCCCCCCCCCCCCC